CCTTGTGTACTTCCTCCAGGGTCTGTGAGTTACAACCTTGTCTGTTTCAATTTTCCTTGTGGTCTTTTGTGTATCTGCTGCTCACCATCCAATACCAGGGTAATCTGCTTAACAAACACTAACTTAAAGTTCAAACAAATAAATTTAGGAAGTTCTTTTTGAGCCTATGTATTTTTTTCATATATCCTTTTCCTGAGCCAACATAAACAAATTTACATGGTTAGATACACAAAAATGTAATATGTACTTATAGTCATCTTAATATATAATGTAGGAGTAAGAGGACTGAATAATAAAGACATGTATGTGCATGTTTATACACATATGTTCAGAAGGATAGAAAAATACTGGATCAAAATAGATAATTTAAAAATATTTGATGATTTAAGAGCCATCTATAAATCTCACAGATTTATAATGTTTATGCTTTTTCTGTACACTTCATTTCTGTGCATTTTGTTTCCAAAACTCATGACTTGGCTTGAGAAACCAAGTCATTGTAGTTGTTTAATTTCCTGTGTTTTATATGAGGACTACCGTAATTCTTTTTGTTTCAAACATCATGAAATATTGTTTGAATGACTTGGTCAGGGATTTTAATAACGGTTTATATAAAACTTAGCAGAAAAGAGAAATCAACTGGCAAATAAAGGTAATTTGACAGAGAACTCATGAAGTTTCATTTTGTTTAGTATATTTTATTTTTTCCTTCTATTAAAAAATAACACTATTATATCAATGTATTTAAATTATTCTTTTTACTTTTTAAAGTGATGTTATAAACATTATTTCCTTCTTTGACAATGTGTTCAGCTGAATACTTGATGATATCGTATGTCCATGTGTCATTTTGACATTTTTGTGTAGTTAATAAACACAAAGGACAGTGCTATTTCTCTAATACATCCTTTGTAATTATGAGGAGTATTCCAATAACAGTGATGTTGTCATTCCAAGTAGGAGATGAGTAATAATACCCAGGATGCAGAAGTGGCATGAACTCTGCATGTGGATAGAGGACACCTGTTCCCAGGCCTACCTGCTGGCTGAACTCAGAAAAATCAAGTCTGTTTGTTTTATTGAGTATTTTTAATTTCCTGTTCCTCTGTGTTCTTTTGTCTTTATTCTCTACAGAAACAACACACCCATTCTCCTTAGGAGTGCTATGGCCACAGCATCTCACTGCTCTCCCTCTCCCACATCAGCTAACAAAGCCCTTGTAGGTTCTGAGGCTCTGATCAGTAATTGGGAGATTTTCTTTCTTTCTTTTTTTTTAGATTTTATTTATTTATTTTCAGAGAGAGGGCAAGAGAGGGAGAGAAATATCAATGTGTGACTGCCTTTCACACACCCTCAAATGGGGGACCTGGCCCACAACCCAGGCATGTGCCCCAACTAGGAATTGAACTGGTGACCCTCTGGTTCATAGCTGGCACTCAATCCACTGAGCCACACCAGCCAGGGCAAAGTTAATGATTCTTGAGTCAAAAATATATCTGAATGTATCCTTGAAGCTACATGTTTTACAAGCTTAGTTATTCACACCTGACAGAACATTCAAAAATGGGGGGAAAAAGGTAAAACAGACTATAATTTTAAAATAACATGCAAGCTTTGTAGTTATTGTCCAAAGAAATATATAATGAATTTGAAATTGCATTATACTTGGATATGATTGGTTGAAGTATATTATGATATGAGGAAATTTATCTCAAAGATATTTAAAACTAATGTACTCAAGGTATGGTGCAGAACAACATTCATTTTAATGTAATTAATAACAATTTTTAAAACATTTCCTTTTTTAAAGTAATGCATGTTGTCCTAAATGACCATATTTTCTAAAAGGCTTAATTTATTTTAGAGAGAAGGAAGGGAAGGAGAAACAAAGAAACTTCAGCAACCTAGGTATGTGCCCTGACAGGGAGGATTGAACTGGTGACCTTTTGTTTTGCAGGCCTGTGTGTTCAATCCATTGAGACACACCAGCTGGGTGTGATGATCACATTTTTTTAGTTGTCCTATCTCACATCCTAGCTATGTCCCTATGAAAGGCTCTGGAATTCAGTCCTGTTGAGTCCTGGCCTCCCTGGTGAACAGAGAATAGAAAATTAAATGCTGCCAAGTGTCAGTATGTGATTGTTGTACCTAAGGAGAGCTGTGTATTTCACAATTTAGTTGTTAATCCTAACACAGATAACTACAGTAGTTGTTTAATAAACTGCCGATATTCTAATTGCAGAAACGTTTCTGAACCCAACACCCTCTCCACCTGTAGTTCCTCAGACATCCCAGTTTCTGAGTTGCTTCATCCTCACTAGCAGAACTTGTGTGCAATCTTTGCCAAAAATAGCTTTTGAATTAATCTTTTTCAAAGTTAATAGGAGAACAACTTAGTTTCTAATAGAAATGGCCCACTAACTACACATTTACCTGAAAACTGTTAAACATAGCAGCTTAAATTGGGTAGGAAGCAACCATCCTCCCAGCATGAAAAGCACACAGGTACATTTCTTCAAAAAAGTTTTTTTGTTGCCCTGGTTGATGTGTCTGTTGGGTGTTGCCCTGCATAGTGAAATATACCTGGTTTTATTCCTTGTTACAGCATCTGCCTAAGTTGAAGATTCAGTCCCCAGTTGGGGTGCGTACAAGGTGTTTCTCTCCCATTCATTCTCTCCCTTCCCCTCTGTGTAAAAACATTTTTTTTCAATTACTGTTTACATTCAGTGTTATTTTGTATTAGTTCAGGTGTATAGCCGTAGTGTTTAGACCATCATATATTTTACAAAATACTCCCACTGATGATTCCAGCACCCAACATACATAGTTATTACAATATGACTGATTATTCTGTGTGCTGTACTTTACATCCCTGTGACTATTATGTAACTGCCATTTTGTCCTTTCTAATCCCACCACCTTTACACTGCCCCAAACCTCTTTGCTCTGGCATCCCTTATTTTCCTACGAATCTGTTTCAATTTTCTTTGTGTATCTACTTTGTAGATTCCAGATTGTGGAGAGCAGGACTAAACTTAGATGGCATGAGTCCTGTTAACTACGATGGTGTGGAGGGAAGCCATACGCAGTAGAGCAATGATTCAGAGAGATGATGAAATCCCTCCAATGCACAATGAGGTAAACATGCTTATCTAAAGTATAACACCACCCTCTCAGACCATGCACAGTAAAGTGACTTAAAACACATGTGCCTGTCAAGGTTGCACAAAGCATGTGTTATCATGCTTTGTGCAACCTAGCAGAAGCTGATGCAACATTGCATCATACAAGAGTATATAAGTAGAGGACTTCAGACTGTGTACAGTGCATCCTGCGAGTAACCTTGAGATGGCCCACACGGGGAAAAAGAGCTCCTCCGTGATGGTGTCCCTCTCACTCTGCCTTGCAAGATGTCAACCACCCTGCTGCTTTCCCAGACCCACTCCTGATTTGGATTCTTGGGACTGGTTTGTTATTCCTCAGTTCTCTCTTGTAATATTGTTAATGATTGTTATTGCTATTGATTGATTGTTATTGAGATTCAACCTGCATCAATAAAAGCTTTTTCAGTTACAAGGCCCGGGGGTCACATGACCACAGTGCTTGGTGGAGGGAGGACTTATTTGAAAGACTACCATATTTTGCCATATATAATGCACACCCATGTTTTTGGCTTAAACTGTCAGGAAAAACATCTTTCATGTTAATTTTCAATTATTTATATTTATAATATATTTATTAATATTTATAAATAAATTTATATTTATTTATATTTAGATACTTGTTTTTTGTATTATAAAGGAATTTTAGCATTTATTTTTGAACATACTTGTTACAAAAATTTTATGTAACAAATAATTACAAAACACAAGAACAGATAAAAGGTATTTCAGGTACTACCCATGTATAATGCGCATCCTTATTTTTCCCTCAAAAATTTGGGCAAAAAGTATGCATTACATACAGCAAAATACAGTATATTGTGAAACATTCACTGGCGACACAAATCAAAGTAAATTATTTGATATTTGTCTTTTCTTATTGACTGATTTCACTTGGCATAATATAGAACAGCATTTTTAAAAAAGATTTTATTTATTTCTTTTTAGAGAGGGAAGCAGGGATTTAGAGAGGGATTTATTTTTAAAGAGAGAGAGAGAAACATCAATGTGCAGTTGCTGGGGGTCATGACCTGCAACCCAGGCATGTATCCTGACTAGGAATCAAACCTGTGACACTTTGGTTCACAGCCCGCACTCAATCCACTGAGCTACGCCAGCCAGGGCTTAGAACAGCATTTTTAAATTTTTATTTATATTTAGAGAGAAGGGAAAGGAGGGATAAAGGAGAGAACATCAATGTGTGGTTGTCTCTTCTGCGCCCCCTCTTGGGGACCTGGCCCACAATATAGGCATGTGCCCTGATTGGGAATTGAACCTGCAGCATTTGGATTTGCAGGCTGGCAATCAATCCAGTGACCTACACCAGCCAGGGATAGACCACCATTTTTGAACATGAAAAAGAATCCCTGGAAGCAAAGCTCATAGTTCACACCAGACCTTAGGGCAACCCACAAAATAGCACTCATTCACTTTTTCTTCGTTGTCCTTGCCTGGCTTTTAGTCAGACCCAGAGAGGACTCGCTCAGTACTCCGCCCCAAGAACGCCCCCTTTCGCTCCCACAGCCACTCTGCACAGACTTATAAAGAGGTGAGAGTCCAGAGGGAAAGTCACCAAAATATTAATTTTGGAAAGAAAAATTAGAGTTTAGCAATAAAAGTGTAAGTAAATCAAACGCAATGAACAAGGAAAGTCTAAAAGCAAGATCAAGGTGTGGTGGGGCACAGGGCACGCCACTGTATCCGCTTCTCCCCGGCGTTCTGGTTTCCCCGCGTAGGACTGCTAGTTGTCCAGCCCGCCTCCGCGGCCTACTGCAGAAGCCTTCACTCAGGTCGGGCTCCGGCCCCGCCCAGCTTTTGAGCTGAGGAGCATGCGCAGCTTTTTATAGACCCTGAAACGGCTGTGGGTAGCCACGGTCACGCGGTTCTTCTTTGTTCCTGTTCTTCTGGTTGAAACCTGATTTCTTCAGTCCATCTTCCGAGCAGGTGAAGCCTGAGGGGCAGTACAGACGTAGAAATCTCCGACCTGTTCCTCCTCCAGCGGTGAGTCCCGCATCCCTGTGAGACGCTCCTCGTAGACGCCCCGCGTTTGTTTCTGGGGAAACTCCGAGGCCGTTCCTCCCACGGTCTTTCCGCCTTCGGGCCGTTGGGCACCCCCTGCTCCGTGGTTTTCCTGCTGAAAGCCTTTCCCCTGGGCAGTCTTCCCACCCCAGGCCTTTTAAAGTCTCGCGAGCCAGACTCGGTCAGTGTAGTCAAACCTTTTGTGCCCCTCCCGCCGCCTCGCGGCTTTTGGTCCATAGAGACAGGATTGCCAGTTCTGATAGTCTGCAGTCCACCACCTCCCCCGAGTAACCCCCCCCCCCCCCCCCCACACACACGTTTAATAAGAGACCCAGATCCCAGAAAGAGCACACTTTCCATATGGTGGGGCTTAGGAGGGGAAGATACGGTGTCCCCAGAAGAAGTGACCCGCCACACGCGGGGGAGGGAATTTGTGGAAGCGGTGATGGCGAAGGGGTGACAGGGAAAACGGTGGAACGAGCCTCTGAGGGGATCCGGAGACGGAATGACAGAGATGGACACGTGAGGGGGAGAAAAGGTTGGTGAGGGGCCCTAAGAGACTACAACGCAGGGGATGTGGGAGGGACGGGCCCCGCGACGTAGGAGTGAAAGGGTAAGTGGCGAAAGGACCCTGAGGAAGAAGACAGGGAAGAAATGCCAAGGATACCGGGGAGCTGACAGGGAGAGGGGCCTTTGAGCCGAGGTGGGGGCAGCAAAGGGCAAGACGCCGCAGACGGAGGGAGTGGTTCTGAGACCAGCTGGGGCAGCGAGAGCAGGACGGAAAGGGGTTGGAGGGAGGAGCAGCACTGACAGTCGGCCAGCTAGGGGGCAGGGTGACAGTACAGACTGTAATGGGCAGCAGTGGGGACACAGGTATGCAGGGGGCGGGGCTCAAACGTGTACAGAGATGGGAGCAATCAAAACTATGGAGAAAGAGCAAGTGAAGGTGAAATAGGCTACAAGAGTTTCGTGGAACAGGTGTAAGCACATGAATAGGGAAGAAAAGAGAAAGATCACGAGGGGGGAGGGAAAACGGGAAAGGACAACAGTGCAGAGAAACAGGAAAGAGACAGAAACAGAAATACAGAGAAATGCACAGAAATACAGAGTAGCAGGAAGAAGGGCAACCTGGATGTGGATGAGTGATGAGCTGATGGGATGTGGAGGATTAAGTTGTGATTTATGGGCTGTGGGTTTATAAGCTATTCAGTTTAACATTTGCTGAGTTGTTTCAGTTAAACAGAGTTGAATGATAATTACAGATCTCCAGTTTATAAGGCTCATAAATTTTATAATAGTTTGCTTCCAATTGCAACCTTTATTCACTGAGAGGGCAGAGACTTGTATGCCAGTGTTGGGTCCTTTCTCATATCCTGGAATGGCAAGAGGGAGGTGACCTGGGACAAAAAATGACTGAATCTGTCACCATACTTTGATCAAAGAAGTCATTACAGTAAAAACAAACAAGCAAACCAAATTCCACACACTCTTCCATTAAAATACATTATGTCTAGTTTCAATTCTGAGCCCTGCATCTTTTCTGTTTATCATATGTTGGAACATCCAGTGATACTTCTTCAATATTAGATTATTTCAGTGTGTACTTTGTAAAAATGATCTTTTTTTTTAAGATGTCAATGATCTTAACAGTCAGAACCAAGTCATGACTTTGTCTAATATTCTACAGCTTTTTTCTTCCCTTTTGTGACTCATTGAATTAGTGACTATGAGCCACAAAGGAACTGTTCTCCTCATGTCCCTCTTGTCCTTTCTCTGAGAATACTGAAGGAGGGACTGGATTGACCTGAACATGGTTCCCAGAAAGGCCATCTATTGATTGTGTAATTTGATGAACATATTTTCATAGCTAATATTTTTAAAGCTTTCAGCATGAGAACTTGCATTTATCATTTTGTGATTTTAAAATAATTTTTTGTAATTTCCTGGAAAAGAAAAAAAATTTGACTAGGCAGCCTGTTGTTTTAGAAGTTTCTGCCTAAAGTACTCCCTGTATCCAGAGGTCTGAGGTGTGCTGGGTGTGATATATCTGGCCCAGTGCTACAGCAAACAGCTCTGGGGGAGCAACGAAGGCACCAGGAAGGAATTAGATAAAGATGCCATTTCATGGGCCCTACTGCAAACCTGCAGAATTATAACTTAGTGGAGCCCTAATTCCCTAGGGGTCTGCATGCTTATTAAAGCTAAACTATTTCCCTCCAGATTCCTGTTAAATCACCAGAAAAGTTTTAAGAAATGACACCAGCTGTGTCATCATCCACAGAATTGGACAACTGCTCTGGGTGGAGCATCATTGTTTAATGAGGTGCTCCAGGTAATGCTAAGGTAAGTCCAAAGATTAGCAGGAAATGCTCTGGAGTGCATTTCTTTTAATCTGCAACCAGAGGGTATGCTTATTGATTTTAGAGAGAGGGGAAAAGAGAGAAAGCGACAAACAGTAATGTGAAAGAGAAAGAGCTATGTGCTCCTTCCTGCATGGGCCCTGATTGGGGATCCAATCCACAACCTAGGTAAGTATCCTGACCTTCCATGGTCCTGGACCCACAGGAAAGGTTATGGTCAGGACCCACAACCTTTTATATGTTGGAATTGTTCCAACCCAGGGAAACATCCAGTTCCAACATATGAAAGACCAATGCTGCAACGACCTGAGCCACCTGGCTAGGGCATGCATGTTGTTTAATAAGAAAAATTTTATTTAGAAAGTCAAAGGTAGAAGAAGTGGGCTCAGGGAACCAGAGACAAGAGTCATAAGATGGGCCCTGGAGCTTAGGAGAAAGAAAGGGCAAAGGTTATCTTCAGAAGGGGAACAAAGGAGAATGGGAGGGACAAGGCATGCCCTGATGCATTTGTAAGAGTGAGAAACAGGCTTTGGTTAGGGAAGGTAATGGGGAGCTCTACTGGGTTTGAGGTTCAGGAGAGCAATGCATGTTCTTCTATCTGTAGGAGTTTGTGAATGTCTGTGGGAGAAGAGAGCACCTAAAAAGAAGAAAGAAAACTCAGTGTGGTTTCCATGTGGGAGCTCTTTATACCTGACTCTCCTTTGATAAAGGACTGGAGAAAGTGGCCTTTTCAGCATTTCCAGGTTTCTTTTGCTTGTGAGTGTGGTGGAAGCAGGAAAAGGGGCTGTGTTGAGGCCTTTGAAGGCACGTTGTCAAAATGCAGATGTGACTCCTCTGCATGTCATCACCTGAGAAAAGAACCAAGAGCAGGAGCAGGACCACGAGGACATGGCTGCTTCTCAGGTAAACGATGTGTCCTGGGTGAGAAGAGAGGCTATGTTTGCTTTTCCTCCTAACGTCAGTGGATTTAGAACCAGCTCCTTCTCTGCTTCTGATGTTTCTGACTAGTGAGGTGTTTTTTTTATTCTACTTATTTTTTTCCTTTGTTTCTTATGATTGTCAAGATCAGCAGTTTGTACACTTATTTCCTTTGCCCAGAGCCTTCTCTGCATTTTCATTATCCATTTTCCCCAAGGACACAAAGAATTCCCATCCTGAATTAATGACCTTTAACTACTGAAAATATTCCCTCTGTGACAGATGAACCTGGGAAGGCACCCTTGTCCAATATCCCTCTTAGGATGGGCCAGAAGCTCGGCTATTGGTGAAGAAGGGACGTGGAGGTTTTAGGTTTATGTGGCTGCAACATCAGCTCTGTAGATCAGGGGTAAGAATGCACAATTTACTGGTGAGGATAGCTCGGAAAGTTCTGACAAAGGAGAGACTTGGTTACTAGTTTGAGACAAAAGTTTTGCTATTTAAATGCACTACAGTATTTGTGTCAACAGGTAGGAGATACATGTGCATTTACATTTGCAAAAATTAAAGTTTATTTGTGATCACTTTCAAATAATGATTTTTTTATTTCTGTATTTTTTGCCAGTAATGTCACAGCAGTGATGACATGTCCTTCTGAGTGCCTCACTCAGCTGATATCTATTGTTCCAGTCCAGTTGATATTCACCTGACTGAAGTGCTCTCTTCAGTATAGAGTAATAGTTTCCCTTTGTAATTAACAAGGATCTACAAGGGAATTACTGAGAGACATGCAAAAACCATCACATTTCCCATCTACTTAGTTTCTGTTTGCCTTCGAAAATGAAGGCTGTACTTTATTTCCTAGAGATAATTGGTTTTTGATGTGGAAGATTTAATTAATCAGACTTTGTTCCTATAAATTTTGATTATATTCCACACTCACGTTACAGATATATCCTGTTTGTTAGTTTTTATAATTTCAATAAGGTTTACAAGAGTAATATATGTGTATTTTCAATTCAGTTAAATTTCTAAGATAATAGCTCTCCACTAATGATACACAAAGTGTTAAGAGAAATAAAAAACTAAGAAATAATAGCTCTAACTTTATGTATGTTCCTCTCCTTATTGTGTTTATAAAACATAAAGAGCACCATCCACAGTTAGATTTATGAGATTTACAGAATCAAAAACTTTAATTTCATTGACATGAAAATTCTATTTTCTGTCACTTTTCACTTGTTCCTAGTTTCCATATATCCATCAGTTTGTGTGCATAAAATGTTAACATTTCAGTTATTTAGGCTTCTTACTTTCCTCAGATGTTTGCATTCTTCTCAGTCACGGAAACACCAATGAATAGTCATGAGGTCTCTTTACATGTATTTGCCTGTGTTTGTTGAAAAATTGTACATCAACTTTGGAGAAAAAATTAGCTCTACTCTTTACTATATGTTTCACAAAATACTCTTCTAACACAAGAAGAGTAATTTTGTTCTAAGATTACTTATACAGAATTTTAAAACAGTATTTTGACTGTTGTTTCTTATTTATTAAAAACTAAATTTTATAAAACTTTTTCAGCTTCAAGATATGTATGAATTCAGATTTCTTTTGTGTGCTGTTCAGAAGTATGACACATGGACCAGAGACATTGCTATCAGTAGTAAAAAGTGAGCTCGTTAAAGATGTGGAAACACAGGCCCCATCCCAGAACTCCCGTATCAGAATCTGTACTTGTACAGATCTTCAGTTCTCTCTTGTCTGAATTAAATGTGAAAAAGTACTTATACTTTCAACTCACCATGACTTTTGTAGCTGAGAAATGTACACAGCTCATTCTGGATGATACAAATACAACACTCACATACATATGCGTGTGTAGATGCCTTCACTTTAAAGTTTATTTTCCCAAAAAGTAAAGTCTCTGTTTAGGGTTTGTGGTAGTCAACCTCATTTCTCAGTGTTTGAAAATACAATAGAGTATATACCTGAGTCAAAGTGATATTAGTAAGTAACTCAGGATACTCTTTTAGCTCAAAACCACTTCTGCTAACAGTATTTGCTTGTTAGATGACATTATGAACTCTGCTGTTTTAGGGATTGTTGACCTTCAGGGACGTGTCAGTAGATTTCTCTTGGGAGGAGTGGGAATGCCTGGACCCAGGTCAGCGGAAGTTGTACGTGGATGTGATGTTGGAGAACTACAGGACCCTGCTCTCCCTGGGTGAGGATGACTTCCTTTCAGACCTCCTGCTCCACCTAGGGGTTTCATTTTCTTTGTTAGTTTAACATCTTCTAGGGACTTCTGCTTTGTGTGGGAGCACTTCAGATTCTTGCTCTCAATGGAGAAATTGGAGGTTATCCAATGTAGAAAGAAAAAGTTTCGTGAACAATGTGACTTAGAAACTTTTAGTGTCTGAAAACTTTACATGTGTTCTAGAATAATTAAGTTGTTACTGAAAACAGTATTTTGGAAAAATCATTTTCTAGAATATTTTATATTACCAGTTTAGTTACCTGAGAAGAAAGTAGAATGGAAAATGGGAAAATTTCCTCAAAGCTAATGATTCTTTTTCATATAAACAGGTCTGTTTGTCTCTAAGCCAGTTCTGGTCACCTTTTTGGAGCAAATGAAGGAGTGCTGGATTATAAACAGGGAAAAGATGGTATCTGCCCCTCCAGGTAGGTGGGAATGGGGAAGCACATGACACAGGTGAGAGGCCCAAAGGTCATGGAGGAAGCCTGACCTTCAGGTGTGGTTTGGGAAGCTGTGCTTCAGTGGATGGGATTTTGAGAAGCCCGGGTCTAGTTCTGCTGCTGTCATAGATGGCCAGTTTGTCCGGAACATGTCCGGTGACCTCTCTCATCCCGTTAGCACTGGGGCCAAAGTCTTTTCCTTCACTTGCGAGAGCTGCCGTGCTCTGGCTTGTCTTGCATTGCTTTGGGAACCCAGGAACCTCTGTTTATGTTGCTGGGAAATGTATGTTAAGCTTTTTTCTTTTTAACTTTTTCTTTTTTCTCATGGAAAGTGATTATGAAGAAAAAGGTTGAGATCCTGGAATTTGATACAGAAATGCCAAGAACCCTGGGAACAGGTGTCATGTTTTCTAGTTTATAAAATCTAATACTGTGGAGGCTTCAAATAAGACCCTACCAAATTTAGACTGACTCAGTGATTTCATCACCAAAATGCACCACCCAAAATGAGACAATCTGATTTTTGTTTCACTTCAAAATGTCTTTCTGCTTAGTATGTAATACCATAAGAAGTTTATAGTGTATGTTTTAATTCCTTAATGTTAGAGTAGTTTACTGTGTGTGTTTACCTCAGAGTTCTTCAGTAAGTTACTGCCATAGCTGACTTGACAACACTACCCACCATGTAGGAAAGTCTCCATTGTCACCTGATTTCTTCCTCACTATCCTTTGGTAAGAAGTGAGTTATAGAATTATTAGGCACTTCATATTTTTTAAATTGTTTGGTGGTGCTTTGGTGCTCACTGATTCTGCCCCTTGAGTGTGTTGCTTGTAGAAGTGGTAGGGTGGCAGTCTAACATGGACTTAAGCTGTCCACTGGCTGTGGGTCCTCCCTGGAGGTGCAAGGTCAGCCACCACCTCTGAATTGCCCAGGATCACCTGGAACACATTACAGAGTGATGTGCAGATGGCTCCTAATTCAGCTGGGTTTGTAGGGTCCCCAGAGAGGGCAAGATGTGATCCAAGGCCAACTGTGGGTAGTGCTGGCATGTGTCCATTGAGTGAGCGGTAGAGGATATGTATATACCAGATCCAGCTTGATTGAAAGGTTTGGGAGAGTCTGAACCATGACGCAAGAGGGGCCGTTTGTGTGGAGAAGCCACTGGACATGGCTTGGATGGGTTCTCAAGTTGAATGGGGCAAGGTCTCAGGGAATCACTAGGACAGGGCTATAGCACTAGCCAGGTACGTGGAGATTCAGATATGGTACCTTCCTACTATCTCTATGGTAGAGAGGGCTCAGCAAGGGAATAATGGCCTCAGACAGGACTTCTGTGTGGGTGAAAGCTGCTCCTCCTGCCTCAGCCCTGAAGCCAGACAGTTGAGTCCCTCCCTGAATGTCCCTAGCACCTTTCATCTGTTGTCCCAAGGCTAGAGAGCAGAGCTTGTGAGTCCCAATAAGTCTGTGTCAAGCCCTGTAGGAGGAAGACTTGGATGTCAGCATCCCTCAGTCTCATTGAGCTATAATCCTCACTGGTTTTCCATCGTGTTTCCTTTTCAATGATAGATTCCCCAAGTTTAGTTGAGTTATGTTTTTGTTTTTATTCATATATTAGAAAAGTGAATGATAGTTTTCAACTCAGTACACTTAATGTACTGTGGGACTTAATGAAAATATGAATCAGCCATATGTCATTTGCCATTAAAATTATATGCACATTTGTCTGTTTTTAACCTTATGTTTTTTATGACTTACCATATTCTGCCATGTGTAACTAGCTCCTGTGTGTAATGCACCCCCACATACTCTGCCCAAGGTTTCAGGAAAAGAGTATGTTTTATTTTAAATTTTTAATTCAGGTCTGTATTTATTTATATTTAGTTATTTGTTCTTTAGTGTTACAGAGGAATTTTAGCATTTTCTTAACCATATTATGGTATAGGAAATTTTATGTAACAAATAATTACAAAGTACAAGAATCTGCAAAATCCGTTATTTCAGGTGCTACCCGTATATAATGTTCATCTTTAGTACATCTTTAGTGTTCCCTCAAAAATTTAGGCCAAACGTGGCACAGTATACATGGGAAAATATGGTATCTTGTTTCTTTCTGTGATTCGTTAATGGTTGACGTTTGTTTTGTCCAGTGTAGTTACTGTAATAGGGTTAATTTTATATCGGTTTGTGGGTGAATTTGTATTCTGTTTCAGTGAGATGAAAATATCCCTAAATTGAATATAATTTTTGGAAAGTTTTAGAAGTATCTCTTTTAGAAACATTGTGTTTTAAAATTTGTTAAAAAATCATGTGAGCACAAATGTAGCATCTTTTTTTTTTTCAGTATATTTTATTGATTATGCTGTTACACTTGTACCATTTTTCTCTCCCCTTTATCCCCTTGCCACCCTGAACCCGGCTTCCCTCCATCATTCCTCCCCTTAGTTCATGTCCATGAGTCATACATGTAAGTTCTTTGTCTTCTCCATTTCCTATATTATTAACCTTCTGCTGTCTGTTTTGTACCCACCATTTATGCTTCTTATTCCCTGTACCTTTTCCCCCATTGTTTCCCCGCCCCTCCCCACTGATAACCCTCCCTGTGAACTCCATTTCTGTGATCGTGTTCCTGTTCTAGTTGTTTGCTTAGTTTGTTTTTCTTCTTGTTTTTCTTTAGGCTCAGTTCTTGATAGTTGTGAGTTTGTTGTCATTTTACTGTTCATATTTTTGATCATCTTCTTTTTCTTAGATAAATCCCTTTAACATTTCATAGAATGAGGGCTTGGTGATGATAAGCCCTTGAACTTGACCTTATCTGAGAAGCCCTTTATCTGCACTTCCATTCTAAATGACAGCTTTGCTGGACCAACTAATCTTGGGTATAGATGCTTGCTTTTCATAAATTTGAATACTTCTGTCCAGCCCCTTCTTGCCTGTAAGGTTTCTTTTGAGAAGTTAGCCTATAATAGGCTTATGGGAACTCCTTTGTATGCAACTGTCTCCTTTTCTCTTGCTGCCTTTAAGGTGCTATCCTTATCGTTAATCTTGGGTAATATAATTTTGATGTGTCTTGGTGTGTTCCTGTTTGGATCCAAGTTGTTGAGACTCTCTGAGTTTCCTGGACTTATATTTCCTTCTCCAAATTGGAAAAGTTTTCTTTCATTATTTTTCAGATAAGTTTTCAATTTCTTGCTCTTGCTCTTCTCTTTCTGGCACCTGTATGATTCAGATGTTGGAATGGTTAAACTTGTCCCAGAGGTTCCAAAGCCTCTTCTTATTTTTTTGAATTCTTGTTCCTTCCTTCTGTTCTGGTTGAATATTTATGCTTTCCTTTTGTTCCAAATTGTTGAATTGAGTCCTGTTTTTTCTTCCCTTTACTGTTGGTTCCCTGTATATTTTTATTTATTTCACTTTGTACAGCCTTCACTTCTTCCTTTATTTTGCACCCACACTCATTCATCTCTGTGGGAATCCTGATTACCACTGTTTGGAAGTCTGTCTGTGATAGCTTGGCTATCTGTTTGTTGCTTAGTTCTTTTTGTAGATTTTTGACCTCTTCCTTCATTTGGTCATATTTCTTGGTGTCTGTGCACCTGTCATACTTAAGGGGTAGAGCCTGAGGTATTGGGTAGTGTGGGGAACCCACTTCATTGCATTGTGGCACTGTGTGCAGTGGAGGTGTCAGGGAGGGAACAATGTTGTTTGGTCCAGTCTCCCTGTTTTCAGTCACTTCCCCCACTATCCACAAAGCGAATGTGCCCTTCTGGTGGTGGGTGTGTGGGCTTGTGTACATTCTAGGACCCCATTGGCCCCTCCAACAGAATCTCCTGTAAGACTGAGTTTTCCCCCACCTCTGCAAGCCCCACAGGTTTTGACAGTCAGAGGTTTTGAAGCTTTCTTTTGCCATGCTGGAAGCCTAGATTGCAGGGTCTCTTTCTTTCCCCAGTTCCTCCTGGTGTATGTGCACTTGAGTGTGGGATTGTGCTTCTGCCAGCCATCACCTCACCCCCCTGTCTGCCTGCTGCCAACTTACTGCAAGTTCTCTTAGCCCTGGCTGTGCATCTCCACACCTCCCACCAGTCCAGATTAATGCTGCTTCTTTAACTAAGTGGTTGTCAGGCTTCCATACAGTTTGATTTTCTGGCAGTTCTGCTTGTTTTTTGTTTTTGTGTTGGTTGTTATCCTTCTTTAGCTTGTGTGAGGAAGCAAAGCTGTTTACCTATGCCTCCATCTTTGCCAGAGCCCTCCCCCCAACATCTAGCATCCTAACCATCTGTAACCTTATAGTCCATTCATGTAAAGTATATCCCTTTGTTGTCCATGTGACCTCTTACAATTTTCATGTGACAGAAATGTGTCAGTGTACATTAAACATTTCATCATTTGTCTTAAAATCAAGGCTCAGGTAATTATCTTTGTTTTTTTCCTGTGAGATGGACTCCATTAGGTTACTTACCTAAATGCACCCTATAGTATCTGTGTCTTTGTGACTTGTGAACTTCATGTAAAAAATGTCCTCTGTGTTTGTCATTGTGCTATGTGGTGTTAAGATTCTTTCCAATTTGCTGACAGAATATAACTCCTCTGTATGTATATAGTACATTTTTTTATCTTTTTATTTATCAACAGACATTGGGGTTGCTTCCATCTCTTATAGGCTTTTGTGAATTGTACTATAGTCAACACAGGTGTGCCCATGTTTCTCTCAAATCCTCCTTTGAATTCTTTTGGACAAATACCCAGAAGCAGAAGCATGCCATTAGAAAACAATTCTAGTTTTAATTGTTTTATATCCAACTTGTTATTGATACTGTGTGTACCAATTTATCTTTCATTCAGTCATGTACAGGGTCCGTTTTCTCCACATTTTTGGAAAACGCTTAATATTGTTTCTGGGTGTTTTTTTTTATACTGATCATCTTAATTGTGAATTGATATATATACATATATATACACAATTCATACATACATACATACATACATACAGGGTGTGTGTGTGTGTTTTAGTAGAGAATGCAAACACATGATTCTTGGACCTGTGTAAAGAACCATAGGAAAGACACAGAGAATTGAGTAACATACATCAGAGAGGAAGGTCTGTGAATGACTTTTTCAAAGAGCAGTTTTGGCTTTGCAGCCAAATTGTGTAAAAGTTAATAAGAACTCACACATGCCTAACCCCCATCCTTTCTCAGTGCTCCCACCTGAATAGTACATTCGTGACATTTATGAAGTTAAATCGGTCCATCTGTATCAAATGAAGTTCATGTTCTTTTTGTTAAATACTAAGGAGCACAATTACTGGATCGTATAATAAGTGTATGTTTAGTTTTGTTAGAACCTCCAAACTCTGTTTCCTAGGGACTGTACAATTTTACATTTTCACCAGCAATGAATGAGAGTTCCAGTTGCTCCACATCCGTAGCAGCATTTGCTGTTGTCAGCACTGCTCATTTAGTTTTCCTATGCATTTCCTTACTGACTTAAGATGTGGAAGTTCTTTTCAGATACTGATTTTCTATCTATATATCTTTTTTAGTGTGCTTCTTTTAAGGTGTCTGAGCCATTTTAGTCAGGTTTGTTTTCTTGTCACTGTTGAGTTTAAAATTATCTTATATGTTACATGTAATCCTGTATATGTGATCTTTAGCAAATATTTTTTTCTTAGCTTGTGGATTCTCTTTCTCTCATGATGAATATCATATATTTTTTTCCTTAATGTTTTAGTTACGGCATGGGAATTTAAATCTTAATAATAGGTTGACAATACATAATGAAAAACAAAGATGGTTAAGAATGTATCTTGAAAAAGTGTGATCTGTATACCATGAAGATCACTTCAATAACTTGGAGATTACCATATTTCTTGGATCATGACACACACCTAGGTTTTAGAGAAGGAAAACAGGAAAAAAATTTTTTGAAGCAAAAAGTGTGGTAAAATATTTAATGGTATAAATAACATGATATTTCAGCAATGTAAATGTAAACAGAACTCAACAGCAGCATTAAGAACCATTATTCCTCTCAAATTTGGGGGTCAAGTGGGCGGGTATGTCTTATAGTTCACAAAATACACTGTTTGCAGTTGTATTTTTTGAATAAAGAGCATAAACATACAGAGTCACATCATGAAGAGGGATGTGATAAGATAATCATTTTCTGACGTTACATGTCAACTAAAATAACATTTTTAATTTCTCCCTAATCATACACTACCAGTTAGCAATGGTGATTTTTTTCAGTTCCATATCTTCACTACTGTAAAGAATGCTGCATTTGATATGGGTGTGCATACACTGCTTTGAATTTATATTCTCATATTCTTTGAGTGACTCCCCAGAAATGGAATTGCTGTCTCCTGTGGTACCTGTTGGTCAATTTTTGAGGAACCTTCTTCTTGTTTTTGTAGTGGCTACATGAGCGTTGTCATTTCTCTTTATTGTTGCTGGTGCTCGTTTGTTGATTTATTTGTAATTGTCATCCTGTAACATGTGCGATGGTATTTCATTGTGGGTCCAAGTTGCATTTCTCTGATGATGAATGATGTTGAACATCTTTTCATATGTCTATTGGCCATCTTTCTGTCGTGTTTCAAGAAATATCTATTCAGGACATCTACCATTTTTTAATGAGATTGTTTGATTTTTTTCAATGTTGTGTAAGTTCTTTATATATTTTGGATATTTAGCATCATTGGTGGATAACTTTCCGTATTTGGTAGATTGGTTATTTGTTCTTTGTTTTGTTGATGGTTTCCTTTGCTGTGCAAAACTTACATTGTTGTAGTCTCATTTATTTTTTTTTTTTGATTGCTGTATCTGCCTACAGATGTACACATATTTGTAAGATATATAGGAGATATCATTGACTATCTTTTTATTCCAGTGTTTTCATAGTTCCAGGTCTTACATTCTGCTTTTTAACCCATTTTGAATATATTTTGGTACATGGCAAAGTGGTCTAGTTATGTTTTTTTGTGTATTAGTTCAGTTTCTCTTGCATAACTTATTAAAGAATCTGTCTGTCCTCATTGTGTGTCCCTGACTTTTTTCTTATAGATTAGTTAACTAGATGTCTTTGGTCATTTCTAAAATTGTGTTACTTCTTTTATCATGGTGTTTTTTTTAAAGATAACTTTATATATTCAGAATGCTAAAGATTTAGAAAATATATGCTTTGCACTAATTTTCTTCCATTCCACAGGTTGTGTTTTTCACCCACTGGTGATTAGCCTTAATGTGCAGATGTTTTTCTATTAGGTATAATCCCATTTGTTTCTATTCACTTTGTTTACCTTTTCTTTTGGTATTATAGTGAAAAAAAAGGTCAAAATCTTTTTTATGCCTTTTCATTTAGTAGATTAACAGTTACTGGTTTTATGTTTAATTTTTCTTCCATTTTTATTCACTGTTTATATATTATTTTATGCAAGGGTCCAACTTGACTCATTATTTTACACATGAACAAGCAGTTTTTTCACCAGTCTTTGATGATGTGAATATCCTTTTCTTATTTGGTTGTATTAGGCCTCCTTGTGGAAGCTCCTTTGACCTTATATAGGAGAAGTTGTATGTAAAATCTTTCATGCACCATGCTTATTTATTTACATCTGCCTTAATGGTTTTTATATACTTTATTGATAAGAGAAGCTTTGAAATGTTTTTAAAAATCTTTTATTTATATAGTTTTATGGAGAGGGGATTGAGGGAGGAAAAAAGGGAGAGAAAGATCAATATGCGAGAGAAACATCACTTGGTTGCATCTGTCCTGCTTCCAAAGGAGAGATGACCTACAACGCAGGTATGTGCTCTGACTTGGAATTGAATGGGCCACCTTTTTGGGGGAATGATACTCAACCCACTGAGTTACACCAGTCAGCCCCCATCTTAATTTTGGCTGAACTATTCTATTTTTGCCAAAAGTGTCATTGGGATTTTGATAGGTATTGCTTTACATGTTTAGATCACCTGGGATCTACTACTGATGGATGGCTTACACTCTTATCATTCCAATGTATGATCATGGAATAAATGCTTTTTAAGTTCGTAGTTTTTAATCCTCTTTGAAAAATCTCCATAGTTCCCACTGATAAAGTCACTGAAGAATCTTTACTCATTTTTTTTTGTTAGCACCAATATTGGCGTTCACAGGCCCCCTGACTTTCTTCATTGTGTTCTTATGTACCTATCTCTGTTTTCTTGAGGTCTTCTTCTTCACATACAGGTCATTTCATACAAGTCTGTTGGGGATGGCTCTGTGTGGTTTCAGAGATTGTAGCTCCCTGAGAGCAAGCTCTGAAAGGGGCTCTAAGTCTCCCTGGAAAACCAGGTCATAACGCAGGTGACAGGCATGACTTGATTGTAACTCGGAAGGTCCCATGGGCATCAGGCCTAAAATGTACATATTTGTCCTTTGAAGCCAGCTGTGTTCAGCGGTAAGACCTATAGGTATAACCCAGATGTTTGAGTTCAAGGCATAACGAGTGAAACTCCTACTCCTACTCCTACTTATATATGCCTTTACAGCCATCTGGCGTCAGGATATCTCACAGACCCCAACTGGAAAAGATTTCCATGTTTCTTCAATTTTTATCTATAGATAGTGTTAGTGTTTTATGACTATAGCCTTGTTCAACATTGATTGATAAAAGGTATGCACGTGTGCTGTGTCCCCCTGTATTTCCCAAGCATAATATAAGCCATGTCAGAAAAGTGCTCAGGGTATATTCGTCACTAAAGGGAACCTAGCTGGCCGATGTTCCCCTCACAAGTCTATGTTTGGGATCTTTTTGTGTGTGTGTAATCTATTGGATCATAAATCAAGCCAAAGCCAGTTGTCTTGCCACCTCGAAAATGGATTCTGAATCTACACACATACTGACATTTGGGGTGATGAAGTAGTATTTCACAAAATAGACCATATAACTATGATCCTTCATAATTGAAAATATCACCTCTAGCTCTGGTTGTGGTTTCTTGGTTTTCTGGTGCAATCTATCAAGAGTCACAATTCCATTTCAATTAAATATGTTATGCTGACAGGCAACATAAATCACAAGAGTCATTACCCCGAGACATAGAGTGGCCAGGAAATAAGTGAAAAGAATGGAGACCAGAACTCCAACTCTAAGCAATCAGCTAGAAGTAATTCATCAACAGTTCCATATCCCTAGAAGGAAAGGAAATTATATCAATACATGCTACATCCTTAATGAAACAGACAATTCTTTCTCTTTTTTGCATGCCTTTCTCTGTAATCACAGGGATCTAGGCCACAATGTGATCAGCAGGAACAAAATCACACTACAAAGATCATTGCCTTAATAAAAGTAAAGGTATCTGCCTCATTTGTTTAAATACTATACATTTTTGTATTCATACATTTATAGAATACCTACTGTGTAAAAAGGATTAAGACTTATCTGTGAAACACACATTAAGAACATTTTGCAAATGAGATTTTAGGTTTCCTCTCCCATCATTTCCTACCTTTGGCTGTCCGTTCTCATATCTGCAAGTGCCTAGGAACAAACATCAGATAAGAAATAGCATAAAAAACAAATTTCTTCCATGCTGTTGCCTGTGCAGTGTGAAAGACATTATGATTGCTTGATGAGGTAGTCTACTGGTGTTGAACTTGGTGGTCAGGACATTTACTGTGTTATTGATGATGGTGACCAGTCTTCAAGCAACCAAGGAAGAAAACTGAATTTTTCATTAATTGATTTTTTTTCTTGAATACAAACTTTTTGATGTGACTTTTTCTCATTATACCTTTTCTTGCTTTGAACATTTAACTCTCTTTAGGAGTACTCAAAAATGGAATGTGGTCAAAACCTGCTGGTAGGGTCAGTGTATGCTCCCTAGAGTGTCAAAGCTGTGAAACTATTTTGTATCTTGCAGCTGTGTCATCTGAAGACAACGAGGCCTTGTTGAGAAAGCCAGGGATAGAAGATTTTTTCTCTAAAGTAATACTGGTAAGATACTGAAGGTGTGCCTTTGATAATGTAATGAACGCCTGATAAGAAAGTGTGTGATGAGGAAAAAGCATGTTAAAAGGAACTTAACTAACTTAGGACGGTTATTCCTTGAAAAAATCCTTGTTACCTCTACAGGTCAAAAATGGTACACATTAGGGAAATATCCTACTTTAAGTTAGTGACAATGCAGATAAATGTGTTTCTAAATGTGAAGACTAGAAACAATTTCATGTGTATATATACTTGCAAAGGCAGTCAGGACATTTAGGAACTCACATAATCCATGCTATGAATAATCATTAGAATTGATTAAATTGTAGATTTAGATTAAATTTTCAGTCAGTGCTTTCTAAAATTCAGTGATATATAATGCACATAGACAACTTAAATATAATAATTCTTTTTATTAAAGACTGATTATCCTTTGTTGAGAAATAAGGGTTGTTTTCCTATTTAAATATGTATCATGTTATATACTTGGGAGTGATTTTTTTTTTAAATTGATTCATTTTTAGAGAGAGGGGAAGGGAAGGAGAAAGAGAAAGCCAAACATTGTTTTGTGAGAGAAACCTCAAATAGTTGCCATTTGCACATACCTTTACAGTAGATGGAACCTACGATCCAGGCTAGCTCCCTGATTTGAACTAGAACTGGAAAGCCTTCACTTTGTGAAGCAGTGCTCAACTAACCAGTCACACCCTCCATGGCTGGGTGCATTTTTTAATACATACAACCAACATTGTTTAGTAGATGTCACAGAATAGTTATTTGGGAATAAGTGTACATGTGTAATGAAAATAAAGCTGTTACTAATTGTCTATTTGTCTTCATTAATTACCAGAGTACATATAGTGAAGACAGAAGTTATCAAGGTAATGAACATTGGAAAACTTTTGACCATGGCTTTAATCCTTACAGACATCAGAATCTTCAGCTTCCAGACAACCATTATGAAGACCAAAAACTCTTTGACAAAATGTCAAATTACAGTACACATCAGGTTATTCCTATTGTGGAGGAAACACACAAACAAGGTAGATGTGTCCAGTCTTTGAAGCAGTCCTCCAATCACATTAAACAAGGGAATATTGGTACCAGTGAAGTCACTTACCAATGTGTACCATGTAGCAGAGTCTTCAGTCATATACTCAATCGAAATAGACTTAAGAAATGCCAGACTGTAGAAAGCCATTATGAATATAAAGAATGTGGAAAAACATTCAATTGGCTTTCAGATCTTAGTGTACATCAGAAAATTCATATGGGAAAGAAGTTCTACAAATATAAATTGTGTGGCAAAGACTTTACAAGACATTCATGTTTTAGTGCACATGAGAAAAGAATTCATACTGGGGAGAAACATTACCAGTGCAGAGAATGTGGTAAAGCCTTTAGCAAGTTGTCATACCTTAAGCGGCATGAAAGAATTCATACGGGAGAAAGGCCTTATCAATGTAGAGAATGTGGTAAAGCCTTTAGCCAGTCTTCAGGGCTTATTCAACATCAGAAAATTCATATTGGGGAAAAGCCTTATAAATGTAGAGAATGTGGTAAAGCCTTTAGCAAATTGTCATACCTTACACGGCATGAGAAAATTCATACGGGAGAAAGGCCTTATAAATGTAGAGAATGTGATAAAACCTTTATGTGGTTGTCAGACCTTACACGACATGAGAACATTCATACTGGTGAGAAGCTTTATCAATGTAGAGTGTGTGGTAAAGCTTTTAAGCAGTCCTCAAAACTTAAATGCCATCACAGAATTCATACTGGAGAGAAGCCATATAAATGTAAAGAATGTGATAAATCGTTTCGCCAGTCCTCAGCCCTTATTTACCATCAGAAAATTCATACTGGAGAGAAGCCTTATAAATGTAGAGAATGTGGTAAAGCCTTTATGGAGTCCTCAGTCCTTTCTAAACATCAGAGAATTCATACTGGGGAGAAGCCTTATAAATGTAGAGAATGTGGTAAAGACTTTGCCTGGTACTCATCACTTAATTTACATCAGAGAATTCATTCAGGTGAGAAGCCTTATAAATGTAGAGAATGCGGTAAAGACTTTGCCCGGTCCTCAAAACTTAATCAACATCAGAGAGTACATTCGGGAGAAAAGCCTTACAAATGTAGAGAATGTGGTAAGGACTTTGCCCGGTCCTCAAAACTTAATCAACATCAGAGAATTCATTCAGGGGAGAAGCCTTATAAATGTAGAGAATGTGGTAAAGCCTTTACGGAGTCCTCAAGCCTTACTAAACATCAGAGAATTCATACTGGGGAGAAGCCTTATAAATGTAGAGAATGTGGTAAAGATTTTGCCTGGGGCTCATCACTTTATCTACATCAGAGAATTCATTCGGGTGAGAAGCCTTATAAATGTAGAGAATGTGGTAAAGACTTTGCCCAGTCCTCAAAACTTAATCAGCACCAGAAAAGTCATGCTGGACACAGCCTTATAAATGTAGAGAATGTGGTAAAACATGTGGGTGTTCCTCCACCCTTATTCAACATCAAAGAAATCATCCTGAAGGAAAGCCTTACATATGTTCAGAATGTGGTAAATCCATTAGCAAGTCCTTAAATCTTACTCAACATCAGAAAATGCATACTAGAGAGAAACCTTATAAATACAGAGAATATGGAAAAGCATTTAGGCAGATAGAAGCCTTATAAATGTAGAGAATGTGGTAAAGCATTTAGCAAGTCCTCATATCTTAGTCAACTTCAGAACATTCATACTAGTGAGAGGCCTTATCAATGTGGAGAATGTGTAAAGCATTTAGGCAGTCTGTACACCTTACTAAACATGAAAAAATTTATATGGGAGAGAAGGCTTATGAAAGTAAGAATGCTGTAAAGCCTTCAACCAGTCTGCATACCTTACTCAACATCAGATCATTCATCCTGTAGAGATGCCTTGTATATATAGAAAAATGTGGTAAATCCTTTAGCGAGTCTGTAACCCATACTAAACATCAGAAAGTTCCTACTGGAGAGAAGACTTAAAAATGAAGAGAATGTGGCAAAGACTTTATGAAGGCTTCAACATTACTAGACATCAGAAAATTTATACTGGAGAGAAGCTTTATAACTACAGAATGAAGGAAAGCTTTTAGCCCATCCTCAAAACTTAATTGGCATCAGAGATTTAAAATGGGACAGAAGACTTGTAAATGCAGAGAATGTAGCAAAGCCTTTAGGTGTTCCTAAAATCTTAATCGACATCAGCGAATCTATACTGGAAAGAAGTCTTATAAATGTAGAGAATGTGGTACGGGGCTTAGCCAGTCCTCTCACCTTTCTAAACGTCAGAATATTCATACTGGAAATAATGTATATTATGTAGTAAAGCCATTAGGCTATCCTCATACCTTACTGACATCACAGAATTCATGGAGGATAAAAACTACAAATGTAGGGCATGTGTCATAGCTTTTCACCTGTGCCCAGTACTTCCTCAACATTGGAGAATTTATGCTACAGAGAAACAAGGAAATTTGAAAAACTTGACAATACCTTTCACCATTGTTCAACTGTCATTCAACATCAGAGAAGACTTAAAAATATAATGAATTTGGCCAAGTTCTTTATCCTTCTTCATACCTTAATTCACATCTGATAATTCATACAGGAGAGAAGCATAACCAATATATTTAAAATGTTGCAAAGCTCTAACCAATATTGAAACTTGAGTCAACATCAGAGTTAATTGTAAATAAAAACAATGCAAATGAAAATGTTGAATACTGTTTTTCAGTATTCACAGCTTATTTGATATATAAAAATTCATACTAGAGCCCTGGCTGGTGTAGCTTGAGTTGACTGAGCACTGGCCTGCAAACTGAAAAGTTGCTGGTTCATATCCAGTCAGCGCCCATGCCTGGTTTGGGATCCAGGTCCCCAGTTGGGGGCATGGGAGTGGCAACCAATGAACACATCTCTCCCATGTTAATATTTCCCTCCCTTCTCTCTAAAAGTAAATAAAATCTTGGTTTCTTGTTTCTGGATTTTGTTTGTTTGCTTGTTTGTTTTTAGAAGGGTAGGAGAGAGGGAGAGAAACTGATTGTGTGGTTGCCTGTTGCATGCCCCCTACTGGAGACCAGCAACCCATGCATGTGCCCTGAACTGGTGATCGAACCAGTGACTCTCTGCTCTGCTGGCCTGTGCTCAATCCACTGAGCTATACCAGCCAGGGCAAAATCTTACTTTTTAAACTAAAGAATATTTATTTATTTTGCACTAAGACTTTATCTTAGGATATACTAAATTGTGTCACCATCCCCCACCCCAACTTGAAGAAGGATTAGTACAGATATGAAGATTAACTGACAAAAACTTCCTTCAAAAATCATCATAACAATGTTTAAGTAAGAAAGGGGTGAGGGTTATGGGATTTTCAGATTGAAGAAGATTCTTACATATCATCTAACACATTCAGTCCTGACTATAGTGTACCAAAATGGAAAACAGGATTACTGTAATAGAAAATGTTAGTACAGATCAATATACACATCTGTGTTCCAAGCCCAACCTCGACCATCTAATGCTTCCAGCACAACTACTTCCCAGCCTGTATAACCCTTTTTAAAAAGTTAAGAAGAATTCCCACTAGACAAAACTTTAAAAAGAAGATTGTAGGAAACTGTGTAGCTAAATTACAGCCATACTGTCTCTCAGGGAATGCACACAGATGGAATTATGTGTTCATAATAAAGAATGAACAGCTGTCAAAAATATGCATTTCACAAGAACCCATAGAATTTATGCCTGAAAATTGCTGTTGGGATATTAAAAAACTTAGGGAAGTATATAATTGAAAAACTTTCAAAATGTCAGAGAATTCACAGTAAAACAATGAATGACACTTACTTTTCAGTTATTGCTCCAAATCAGAATTCTTACTATAGAGAATCATCCAAAATGTAAAAACATAGACAATTACCTTTTAGTGTATTTCCAAACATCTAGGAGACGGGTTTTAGATATGTATCCTATTATGTATTGACAGCAGTTGAGATATTTTGAGAAGGAAGTATTCATGTGGTTCCAATCTCATATCACTTCATGCTACTAGGTTTTTATTCATAATGTGTGTGTGAAATAATGGGGTTCATTGTTGCTGCCTAACATATCTGCGAAACTCTTGTATACTAGGTGAGTTTCACTCATGTACTTTTCCGTAGAAGACTGAGGACATTGGAATGCACAATGTTTGAAGAAACTCTAAATGGAGATGCCCTTTGTGGTTGACTCAGACTTGTTACATGTCTCCATGCAGGGTGTCTTCTTTTTGGCATTAATGTAAGAAAAAGAAACATTAAGTACTTTACCAAGATACCCTTTATAGAAACTATTACATCAATGTATTAAAATCCTGGTGTATATTCAGGGTAGTCAGATAGAATTGATGAATATCAACTGGTATGGTTAGAACAAAAAAGTGGTCAGGGATATGTGAGAGAGTATGGACACCTTGTCCCCAAGTACATGAAATTGTTCATCTGTATTTGCTAAATAATTAGCTTCCAGTTCCAAAACCAAAGAAAACTCTGCTATGAGATCATTATATCACAAGGACAGAAACTCTTGCTTAATGATTGTAATGTGTGTTGACAAATGGTGACACAATCCTTTTGACATGCTCTATTTAGGTGATGTGAACTTACTGTTGTCATTAATAAAGTTAGATGAAGTTGATATGTTTATCAACTTCAAGGTTCATATATTTAGCCTTGCTCAAACTTGTAGGTAACAATATACTACTTGGTAATGCACTGCAGTTATGTCATTAGGAATTTCTTCAGTGACGAGACATTCATGTGAAAAAATTCTCCATTGTTGATGTTTTATGGTACCTACTAGAACATTATGATATAGATACAATAGAGATGACATGTGATTGTTTTAGAGTTCAGCTAAGGCACTCGATGATATTGCTGGTATGCCTTTTATTTTCTGTAATTAGGAGCCTTAAACTGCCACTACATTTTCCCACAATTTCATGCTCTAGACAGTAGCTCACAGAGTCACAATTAAATGTACAGGGTCCATTAGAAGTAACGCCTGCTTGAGTGTGGTTGTTAGGGTACATGAATGTCTCTCATAAGATGGAGAAGCAATTTGAATGTTTCATCTAAAATACATTGTGTATGTGAGTGATATTGCATTATATAGCATTAAATACTTATGATTGTGTAATAAAAGATTTTGTAATTAAAAAGGTGTGTTATTTGTGCCAGACTATTGAAGTTATTGAAATGACATACTTAAAACTGCTGTGACTGATAGTCTTCTTTCACCTCAGGGTGTCCTGACATTCTTCATGAGTGATGTTCACATTCAGATCCAGCACACCTAGGTGTGAAAGTGGTGTTTGTGGTCCTGTTACTGTGGCAAGTGACCTCCAGTGTCCACCACCAGGAATTTGTTCTCTTTCCAAAACAATGACTATATGTTCTTTTGTAAGTCACCTTAATTTTTCCACTGCATGTGAAATATTTTAATAGTCCTGAGATCAAAAACTTCGGAACTGATTTGCAAGAAAGATCTAAAAGGTACAACTGTTTCATTCCTGACTCTTAAAATTTAACATTAAGGTACTTTTAGGGTCAATGTGAGGTTAAAACTCAAAACCCTGACAAAATCCATATCAAGGATATGATCCTAATGCCTATTGCAGTCAGATTCCAGTTGATTTAGATGGTTCCCCTGAAGTTACTCCTTTGGACACAAATCCAAATTGGAATCTATACTTTTTGGGACGCATGAGAAGCTCAAGGACCCTGAGATAAATCTAAAAAGCCAGATGTGTGTCGCTATGAGTGGTGGGTGTAGATAATAAATGGAGCTGTTATGTTTCACATAGAATGCTTTTTAAAGAAAAAAAATACGCCCTGACTGGTGTGGCTCAGTGGATTGAGCCTGGGCTGTGAACCCAAGGGTCCAGTCAGGGCACACCTGGGTTGTGTGCCAGGTCCCCAGTGAAGGCAGGGGTACACCTGAGAGGCAACCACACATCGATGTTTCCTTCTCCTTCCTTTCCCCTCTAAAAATAAATGAATAAAATCTTTTAAAAGTACTGTTGTACAGTTTACAGTTCTATAAAGTTGTACTATAAAAATCACTGTCACTTGATAAACTTGAAATAATCCTTGAAACTGTTAGTATTTATTGGAAGTAGGTAGCTGGGGAGAGTGCTTCTTTTACAATAAAGGCATTGTTTCTAGTACCCTTAGATGTGACTAGGTGACGTCCGGAACAAAGGAAAGAAATAGATTTGTATTCCAGGGGAACTGGAGTTAAGAAAAAGGTCATTCCTCTCTCTGGTGCCTAGAAATAGGTCTGTGTACTACATTTTGCCTGGCAAAACTACATTTGCTGTGGACTAGAGACCTCTGAGTACCACCTTTCTTTTTTTCTTTATTTTTCTGAATGTGGAGGTTTATTGAGGTATGCTGTTGTGTTCCACCATAATATGTGAGGAGGACCCTACATAGGTTTTTGAATCGGAGGAGTCTTATTAGACACATCTTTATTTGTCACTGAAGTCTAGGACTTTAAATTTTCTTTTGAGGGGAAAAGTAAATGTATTTCTCTCCTGTAACTCAAGCATGTGCAGCTGCAGGGGATACAGATGGAGTGATGTTTTGAGTAAAGTTTGCCTCTGGCTTTGAGTTTACTTTACAACCCTTCAATTCTAATGGTACTTGACAAAGTTATAACAGTGTTCTGAAACAGACAAGATGCCAGATATGACATTTTTCAAGATCTGGCTCAGTATTTCTTCCTCTAGTTGGAAGAGTACACAGAATGAATTCTGCTAGGGAGTCCTACCCTGGGCACCCTGTAGTCCGGGATGGGTTGGGCAGTGGTGGGAAGAAAATGCATGTAGAGAGTTTGTGGATTTGTATTTAAATATTTTTGAAACCACTCTTTTTTATTAATGACCTAAATTAGGAGGCTGATAACCTACCTGTATTTCTAATATGAACCCTCCTAAAGTAGGGCATTGAATAAATTAAGTAATTGCATTGGAAAAAGTAAATGTATTTAGTGAGAACAAAGGCAGGAAAAATTTCTGATGGAAGCTGCACTGTTATATAATTAATATTACAATTATCAACCTCTGGTGTGATTACTCATCTGTGCCATTTAATATAAAGTTTGATGTAGGTATAAGATATAAGATGCATGGTTATAGCATGGAGAAAAATAAATTTTTATTGTGGTAAGCCAAACAAAATCTAGGAATATGTTTTACCACAACAAAACGTCCAGGAAGCTCACTGCGGGGTTTTCAGTGAAAGAATTTTTTTTGTTCTTGCATCTTTTTTTAGTGACATTTTCTTTTCTCTTAAGGTTTTTTTTTTCTTTATTTTTAGAGAGAGGGTGGGAGGGAGAAAGAGAAGAAAATGTCAATGAGTGGTTGCCTCCCAAGCGCCCCCTACTGGGAACCTGGCTTGCAACCCAGGCACGTGTCCTGACTGGAAATCAAGCTAGCAACCTTTGGGTTCACAGGCCACCGCTCAATTCACTGAGCCACACCATCCAGGGCAACGTTTTGTTTTTTCAACTGATCTACCTGAACCTCCCAAAGTCAAGGCTGCAGATAGGAGCATTTTATCTCCAACAATTGTACCACTTTGAAATATTGATATCAAGAATTCGCTTTTTATATTTTCCCCATTCCTTCTATTTAACTTTCCTTATCCTTTAACATTGTTAGTTATTTTTCATATTTTTCAAATTTTTTATTTTTATAAATAGGAAAGAGGACAGAGAAAAACAATTTCTGTTTCTACTTACACATTCATTGATATGTGATTTTAAGAGAAAGAGGGAGACAGAGAGTTAGGTAAATATAAATTTTTCGTTCCACATATTTATGCATTCATTGGTTATTTTTTATTTTTATTTTTAGAGGGAGAGGTAGAGAAGTATCAGTATGTGGTTGCCTCTAGCATGCCCTGTACTGGGGACCCGGCCTGCAACACAGGCATGTGCCCTGACTGGGGATGGAACCTGCGGCCTTTCAGTTTACAAGCTGGGATTCAATCC